TTCTATCTATAATACCAAGTCTATGACTTGCCATGCCCTAATCTCTTGTGTGTCAACCCACAAACGTTGTGGTTCAACATTTAACCTAATCAAAGCCAGCAGTACGACAACATTTGTGGGTTGATACACAAGAGACTAAGGCATGGCAAGTCATAGACTTAGTATTAGCAATGGACAGGATAGACGAGGCGGCGATTGGAGCTAGTTGGCTGACAGTAGGTTTTACAAGACGTGGTTCATGTAGCAAAGGCATGACCATGAGACTTACTCTGAGGCTTTAGCCTCTAATCAATCACGCAGGTGCAGGGGATGGACAAATTACGCCTCGAGTAGCACAGCTGCATCAACTCCTAATATATGTATTTCTGTTTTTGATGTTAGATAAGTTTGAAGCCAGCCACCTTTCTTGCCTCCGTGTTTTTGGTGAATTATCGTGTCCGTTGCATGACAAACAAAAGTTCAGCCAGGATTCATCGGGGTCGCAGGGGGGTGCGCCGAGAACCTATTAGCACAAATCTGCAATCCGGGCTCCAAGGCAATTCCTCTAAAACTTCCGGTAAGGTCAACTGATTAATGTATTCCACTGACACCTTCAAACGAAATGAAAGCTACTTCATCATGAATTAATTGTTTGTTGACTAATAGGCCAGACTATTCAAAATATTTTAATCTAAAAAGAATGAACACACCAATATAGGATATACATGAGAAAATTACCATCTTTAAGGTCGGAATCCCACCACATTGTCTTGGCCTCAACAGACGAATCGTCGACCATTGAAGCTTCCTCAATCGATTCCACATTATCAACCGGCACATGGAGATCATCCAACTTTGCATCCTTTTCGAGATGGGAGTCAAGTGCAGTGTTTTCCATGCACAGATCCATGTCATCGCACGTATCCCTGAACGAAACAATATTAAATGAGGATGTTTAAGAACACATTGGTCATAAAAGGCAGGTAAACCAAACATACCAAATGCTAGTGGCGGTAGGGGCCAAAGAAGAGATGCCATCATTTGACGGTAAACCTGGGCTCCTAAAAATACGCATTAGTTAATTCAAAAATTCTTACTCAGTGTGCGAATCAATCACCATAGTATTCATGTCTAAAGTCTGGCCACTGTTGCTGGAGTCGCTAGAAGTGTGGATCGCACTAGGATTACAATAATAATAGTATTATTTTAAAACCATAGAGCTTAAAAATAAGTTCAAAAAGTGAGTAGGAAGAGACAGGAATTAATTGAATAAAAAATCTAAGCAACTATATGTTTGAATAAATATGGCAATTCAAATATGCATAACCAAGAATTACTATTCAGTTAGTGACCATATATATTGAATTACACTATTTAAATTAATGTTTAATTCACCTAACTGATTCCATCATGACGCTGACTAAATCAGTGGTACAAGCCGCCGCTTTATCATACGTCCTAAAAAGTTTAATTTAAAGTGAGAATACTTGATTAGATGCTTCGAGCTGAAAGAAACTCGCCTCTGAGAACGAGCATAATTCTCTTTCTGCGGGATAAGCGGCCAATGATAACTTACTTCTTCGACCATTGATTGCGATTTAAGAAG